CTAACATAAAATATCCTCAGGGAAAGACGTATGACGGATTAAAGTTCCTTTGCCGCCAGGCTAACCGTGGAAGATTTTTTTGTGGTTTTCCTCTCCATGTAACGCAAATGCGGGTTAGTTCCATCAAAAAGTCCTCCTCGAAGGCAAATTTCTCCCAATACTTGATCCAGAAGTTCCCTTCTTTTCTGGATTGGGTTCAAAATAATAAGGCTACGTAGTTGAATTGTAGCCGTAAACCCAAAAATTGGGTCGGCTGTTCAACGACTGTTGTAAAATGAAATAAAATTTAGTTCAACAGAAATATCAAAAATAGTGTAATTTACAAAATTTGAAACCTTTAGCTTGAAAAGAGTTTTCTAAATAATTTTGAACAATCCTAAAGTATTCATATACTAATTGTTCTTAAAATAATAATAATAAAATATGGCAAGTCTTTGACAATGTTTTAGTTATCTATATCAATATCTATTTTTATTTATCTATTTAAATATTAATTTTATAATTAAATAGATTCAAATTTGAGGAAATTTATTGTTTTCATAATTTAATAAATATGAGTTAAGTTATTGGTTTTATAATTAAAAAAACAAGTGAAATAATAAAAAAAAAATTTTCTTTATTTTCAGAACTTATACCTAAACATGAAATTTTTAAATAAGATTTCAGAAAATTTAGAATCATTTCAAGTTGAAAAAATAATTAAATTCAACTAAGTAAATTCAACTAAGTAAATTCAACGACTGGTCAGCAGTCAACTTAATATTTTGTCGATAACGAAGAAAAAATTCACTTAATTTTTTTACTTTTTTAAAAAATACATCAACTTCTTTTATCAGCTCCAAATATTCACAATAAGCTCAACCTACTTTATTCAAATAAGTTTTAAAAAAATAAAACTTTGTTTAATAGAAACAAATAACTTATTTAGTATATTCGATGTAATACCTTCAGAATTTATCAGTCAAAGAAAAAGATTTTAGATGATTTATTTATACGCTCAATAAAAACCTAATTTTCGAATTTTAATTCATGCTTTAAAAAGTACACTTGAACTTATGAATTTCAGGGAGCTAAATTTATCTGTTAAAGGAAAAAGAAGTATACTAACAATGAAAAATTTTCATCAACGTATCCACTAAGTTAGAATATTTTATTACATATCTCATCTAATAATAATTTCTTTCAGAACTTATTCAACAGATTTTGCACATTAAATTACGTAACTTAAATAGTATTTGTTTAGTGTCTTTATAATTCAAAATCATTTTAATTTCATTTTTTATAAATGTTTACATTTATTTATTTAGCGTTCAATAATTGAATGGATAAAAGTTAAGTTCTTTTCTCATTGGAAATTTGCATCGCAGAATTTAACCTTAATACTGAAAATTCGCTGAAATAAAGTATTCAAAGTGCATGCGTTACAATAAACTGCTTCATTACCCCTAATTTAGATCGAATTTCCTTTTTTTCCCCTATTAAAAAACTTCTTTGAAACAATTGTTATTCTGTCAGTTTTGTATAATTTCGCATAATAAGTGCAGTTCTGTACTTCAAAAGGCTATACAGTAGAGACCCAATTATCCAAGTTAATGTGGACCATGAATAACTTGGTTAACCAAAAAATTCGGTTAAAGCGAAGAGTATAAAAAAGGTATAAATGTAATATCTTTATCAAATACAAAATTTATACGAGTACATCACGTACAATTCATATTATAATTAAAAAGCTTTCTTAAAAACACTTAGAAAGCATACTTTACGAGAAATAAAGAGTTTTTATTTAAAAAAGTTTTTCTTTAAATCCTTTTTTGTTTTACATTACTTTGTCTTTTTATGCAGCAATATTTCGCCATTTTTTTTTTTTTTTTAGGAATAACAGGGCTTTTTAGGGGGCTGGTATCACCTCTTCTTGTTTTTCTGTATATTCAGGCTCGGTTAAAGTGGAAACTCGGATAATCGGGACTCTACTGTATTTAGTTAACCTTAACTCCAAAAATGGGGGTAGCTATACCCCAAATTTTTCATACAGCATATGGGTGATCAAATTTAAACCTAGAGACGTCAAATGGTAAATAAATCAGTAAATCATTGATAAAAAGAAGAAGAAAATGAGAGAGAGAGGGTGAGAGGAAGGGAGAGAGAATGTAAATAACAGAAGCACGGACATGTCAATTAATTTTAAAATTTATTTTTTGTAAAAAAAAAAAAAAAAAAATTATAAGAACTGTGACAAAATTTTCTGTACAACTTTTAGTGTGCTTTGCTATAAAAGGTAATTTATCATAAGCAATTTAGGTAAGATTGTCTTTTTCCCCAACTAAAAATAAATAAATAAAGAAAGAAATACATAAATAAAAGAACCTACGATGAAATAAAGAGCGATTGACGAATTTTTAAAAATTTATTTCTCTTTAATCTAACTGCCTAAAATTTTTTATAAGATGGTACAATTGTGTAGGGGAGAGTGGGGTCAATTGTAACATTTTTTACTTAACTATTTTTAACTAACAAAAAATCCAATATATTATTAGTATTAATTGACAGACGAGTAAAGTAGACTATCCTCTACTAGAAAAAAAAATAAATACCTTATTTTAAATGTTATTATATTAGTTATTAACAATTTTTGACAGTCGTGCACTTGTTACAATTGTCCCCACTTACGGGGTCAATTGTAACAGTTCATAAATTCAACTAAAACATAGTTAATTATACATATTATCATAGTTGTGATATATTTTTTTATTGATCAAAATAGTAGTGATATTTTAGGAGTAAAAATAATAATGAGCAGAGACCTAAAGGGTTAAACTTTTAACTTTAAGGGGTTAAAAATTTTAATTTATGCTGTGAAAGGTGACAAATAAAATAATGCACATGCAACATAATATAAATGATATAGGAAACTATTGGTGGTTCTTAAAGAGTTAAGTAATGGTTTGTAAACATAAGATTATTTATTTTCAGCTGTTACAATCGTCCCTTTACTTATTGTTACAATTGTCCCCAAGACGCCATTTCAGCTTCATTTGTTAAAAACAATGCTAGTTAATTAGCAAAACTAATTTTTTTTTTATTGAAATGTTAATTAAGGTGTCCACTTACATATTCGGTTACTAATTTTTATTTGTTTAAACAAAATTACTTTGTTACAATATAATATTCTAATACCAAAAAAAGTACTTGCGTGGCGTGAAAATATCTTTTGTGATGTAACTCTTTCAAAAGTACATAAAAATGGTTGCCATCAGGGGTGTACATGTAGATTTATTAAATACACCTTGTGCGCCACCTAGGAACGAAATCTAGAACCCGACACTCGAAATTTTTGCTCTGTTACAATCGTACCCTGTTACAATTGACCCCACTCTCCCCTACTATATAAAAGATTCAGAAAATTTAAACGATATTATAGTTTAACGTTTACAAAATTTTTATTAGTGTAGCTATCATTTTAAAATAAAATTACGTTTTAATTATGTAAAAGTGCGATCAGTAACAGTTATTAACCTTTTTTTTTTATCTCTCTTAGCAGTGTGTTAAAAACTGGGATTTTAAAACGATCAATAGAACCATGCTTCTGTATATATATCATCAATTAAATCATCGGTTTGAAAGAAATTTTTAAAAATCCGTCAGTCGCTCTTTATTTCATCGTAGTTTCTTTTATTTATATATTTCTTCCTTTACTTATTTTTAATGGGGAAAAAAAAACAATCTTACCTGAATCGGTTTGCATATCTAGCCGAAAATAATTATTTTGAATGATAGATATCATGGTTTAATGCGTCCTAAAAATTTTAACAGTTTATCTATCATGCGCATATAAATGTTAAAATAAAGTTATTAACCATGTTAAAAGTGCAATCAATAATTGTTATTAACCCTTTTAATACAGTTTTACAAAAAGTCAGCTTTTGTTTATTACATTCACACACTTAGAACAATCGGCTGAGCATTGAACCACCATATCGATACCAATTTATAGTTCAATTATCCATAATATAGTTGAAATTTACTTCAATAAGGTGTTACATTATACTATATTTCAATTCAAGTTAAGTAGTAATATTTTGTATTCAAATATAGAAAGGAAGGAAGGAAGATTAATTTGTAAGGTAATATGGTTAAAATTGATTCCACAATAAGTAATGTAATTTAGAAAAATGCCGTGTTTCAATACGCTCTAAAAATTTTTAATAGTGTATCAAGTGAAAACTTATTGATGCAAAATAAATAATATTTTTGTTCCATTTAGAAAGACGAATTGTAATATATCATATGCAAATTAAAAAATAATAACTAAACAAAATTATATCCCCGTAAAAAGAAATAATTTTTTAAAATTTTAAGAGTTTAGTTCGTAATTTTAAAAATATTTTTATTTTAAAATATAGCATTGTAATAGCTATTCGTTACTCTAAATCAACGCGTAATAAATATTTTTAACGTATTCAAAAATTATTTGAATACGTTGCTGTAAAGTACATTTAATGCATTTATTTTTTCAAAATTTTGTGGCCTTTGTTTCTTTTATTAAATACTTATGAAACTGGAAATTAATATGTAAATGTGAATTTTTAGCTAATCTAATAATAGTTAAGTCTGTTAAATAAAACATTGCTTGCATTTTTAAATTCAGAATTCTGTAAACAAACATCAATTTTAAAATATCAAAGTATAAAATTTTATCGCTGATTCGAAGTATAAAATTCCGTGTTAAAATAAATATTTTTTTATTGCTGAACCAAAAAAATTTGAAGCATAATTATAACCAGCATGGAATTTTGTGTCAACCTACCGTCTATTGAAGAATCTGATCTATTCTAACAGGTTCGAGAAGAATTCTTTTCAAAACAAAACACAGTATCAATGTCCCACCCACAGTGCTTGATTGGCATGACGTTCCACTCCTACCGAGAATAGCACTTCTCCATTGGGTGGAATCCAGTAACGCCTACTTAAGCAAGTTCCCCACGGCCAATACGACTCCAAGCGAGAAGCTGGTGGGTGGGACGTTTGACTGCTTCACAGGTGCATTTTGAATGGTTGGAGTATCATTATGGCCAGCGGCTTGAGGCCAAACCAAGCAGTGCTGCGCAGTTGGATAGATCCTCAGATAGACAGCGGGATGACGGGCTTCCCGTTTTCTCAGCGCGCGACTACCACCGATTCTCAAGTCGATATGTTGAACCACTTCTCCGTGGACCCTGGTGTGTCCATCGCAAATATCAAACTGAGTCCAGGTCACCAAGCTAACCATACTTTTCATCATCAACAATTTCCACAAAATGGATATGGTCACATGCCCTCCGCGGGTTATGGATCGATGCTGCGTCGGGATCCCATGCAATCCTTTTCGGACGCATACGGGTCCCCCACTGGGGCCCTTCACGCTGATCCCTCTCACATGCTTTTCACAGGTATGATGTCCGACCCTCACAATTATCACAGTCACATGAGAGTGCCATTACCGGGGGGTGCTGATGTGTACGGCAGGACCGATGGTTTTAACCCTTCTCACCACCACCACCATCAGATGACCAGGACTGATCCATATTCGGCTTCGTATCATCATCACCACCATCACTATCCCACGCATCATCTTCAACCTCCAAGTGGTGCCTTTTTTCGGTACATGAAAAATCCGGGTATCAAGCATGAAATGGCATGTTTATGGATTGATCCTGATCAGATGCCACCCAAGAAACCGTGTAATAAAATTTTCCAGACTATGCACGAGATCGTTTCACACATAGCTGTGGAGCACGTGGGTGGACCAGAGTGCACGAATCATACCTGCTGTTGGCAGGAGTGTCCCAGGAATGGGAGGCCGTTTAAGGCAAAATACAAACTTGTCAATCACATACGGGTTCACACTGGAGAGAAACCTTTTCCCTGTCCCTTTCCTGGTTGTGGGAAAGTATTTGCTCGTAGCGAAAACCTCAAAATTCACAAAAGAACCCATACAGGTAAGTTGCACTCTTTTCGATCTTACTGTCTTATTTATTTGTATATAATTTTATGAGTTCGTTAACAATAACTTTAATATAGTGTTTAATCATTTTTAAAACGAATTATTTTTCCATTTGTATACAAAGAAAATTACTCTGAAATCTAAAAAATCATTTAGTTCAAACTGTTTTTACAAAAGTGATTTTTATTTTTAAGCGGTTAAAAATTAAACCGGAAGATCCTTGTAATTATATTGTTTTATAATTTTTGTGTAATTGCTTCGGTATAGATAATTCAAAATTAATTTTTTCGAAAAATTTCATGTAAACAAATGTATTTATTTTTTATGTCAAAGAGCGAAGCATGTGAACTTACTTTTGTCCCATTACTTAATTTTCTTATTGTTGTCATTCGTTATACAATTGTTTTTCTGGTTGAATTTGAAATTTTTTTTTCATGGGTGTATTTGAAAAAAAAAAAAAATCAAAGTTTAGCTCTTGATGTAGATAAGTAAACAAATACTCATTCTTCAATAGACTGCTTTATTATAATGTGATATGGCAAGGGTTTTAGTAGTTCTGAACCAAGCAAAACAGAATTTTTTAAGTAACTTACCTAAACAGATGCTAATAATTTTTCTGAGATGAAATTATTGATAGATATATCGAATTACTATTATTAAGATGTGTAGTGTATACTAATAGCTTTTAAAAATTTTCTTAGATACTGCTTTCAATAATTTTAATTTATTTACAATTTTACATATTTGTTAATGTAGCGCATTAATGCTACTTGTTAGCTATGTAATTGACTACATTCTCATAAAAATTGGTTGTTTCGCTTCGTAATATCAATACCTTGAAACAAATTACTGCTCAAATTCATTGTAAATTATTAAATTGGATCATGTTTCTGTCAAAGCTTATCGCGTAGTAAAGTTCAAGAAGTACAAAAATTAGTGTTATATTCATATATTTATATTCGACTTCCGTCGACTAAAGTGTTGAAAGCTGGAATACAGTCGAATTTCATTAGTGTGAACTAATTTTTAGATCTCAGTCCAATTATAGATATATTTGTAAGTGGTGTTATATTAGTTGCATTTTATACTATAAGTGAACACGCTTAATTGTGAGATGTTTATTAAGGTGAACTTGGGTTTCATACCCTTGGAGTAAAATTTTACTTTTAAGATGGACAGCATAATTAATTTCGCACCAATTCATAAGAATGCTAGTCACTAATGATTCACAAATCCTTATCAATAATAACGGGGTATTTCTGAAATATATTCCATTTGCTTTGTTGTAGTGTTAATGATTTGCACCTTATAACTGTTGAATGAATTGAGTCAGTCTGAAGGGGCGTGATTGAACCGACATTCTTGTTTATAAAGTAGACAATAGGATAAGCCCTTTGAATGAATAGAAAGACAATTTTAGCCTTTCCAGTGTTGAAAGAGATAATTTCATATGTATGAGTGCATTCATAAAAGAAAAAGAAATCCATATTCTTTGTTCAATATGGGTGGTCATTTCTCAAGCACTGTAACAGGTTATTCTTGGAAATTGATATTGATGATTCAACCCCTACTGTCGACTGCAACACCTGGCGATTAAAATTTTGCTTCTTCCTTTGAATTTCATTTGAGAATACTATGGATACCAAAACGATTTTTGTTTTACACTAGCTCTTTTGCATGCTTCCTATCTATGAAAATTCCTTAGAAATTTGGATAATGATTTTTGAAATAATAAAATCTGTAATAACTGTCACGGGAATTTCGTTCGAAGTGTAGGTTTTATTGTGCGAATTATTAGTTTTCTTAGAACTATTGTGCAGGTTTGTTTACTGGGTATCGATTTTAAAATTTCCTGTTCAGATATGAAAAGAGCATTAATGTTTCTTAAAAACTTATGAGCATTTCATATTTTCCAACATAAATAACATGAGTTTTTAAACTTATCTAATGACTATATAAAGATATTTTAGCAATTATTACTCTGTATAAGCCTTGAGGATCTTGCTGTTTCATCAATAATAATTGATCACTGTTACTTTGCCAAAAAGGAAAAAATTTAATCATGAATAATATACACTAGTTGTTTTAACTAATCATTTTACTCTTAAATATTTTTTTTTACTATGAAATGAATCCAAAAGAAAAATTCCTTACTTATTATTGTTTGAAAATGTTTTGCACACATTTATATACATTACTACTTCGCTCATTATTTTGCAAACGGGGTATAATGGTTTGGAGAATTTAAAACATATATAATTTAGGTAGGAGGTAGGTTACCGACCTAAGAAAAGATTAAAAAGTTAATAGTGCTGGAGTAATAGCTGCATAACTTTTGCTTACTATTTGGGGGTAAAAAGGAGATGCAGAACTACTTGAGTTCTTAATAAAATCAACCACATACAGCAAGTATATGAATTTTATATGAAAAAAACAATTTGCCTAAAACTGCTTCCTTTTAATACAAACTATATAACTCATGGAGTAAAAGAACATATTCGTTATATCCCCACGACATGCGCGGAAGAGAGAATTAGAGAGAATGCTGTAACATTAACTTTGTCCCATTATTGGAGAAATTGAAATGAAATTTTCGTTCAAATGTTGTCAATTTAAACTACATGCACATAAATAATTTCAGAGTTCTTTTTTCCCCTGATCAAACTGTGTTTTATCTAGATTAGCAGTTTTCAATTATAATTAACAGTTCAGTATCCTTAATTTAATGGATTTTTAAAATTTTGAACAATAAGATGTTATTTAGTCTGAATTACTTCAATCCACAAGATTTTTTTTTACAATTAAGTACGCAATTGGTCGGAAGAATCATAGAGTCATCAACTTCTTTCTTCATCCAATTCTAAGTTTTATCGGTTATTAAGTTATTACCATCAAAATAGACATGAATGTCATTATAAACATTATTAGGAACATGTGAAAATTTTTATTTATTTATTTTTTCCGGCAAGCTTTAAGAAAATTAACTGATAAAATAACATCAATTGGAGATTATTGTAGAGAGAATTTGATTGAAAATTCTAATTTTATTTATACCGTTCATTCTTTGTTAACCTAAGTTAAATTAAACATATATGATAAGAAACAAAGGAGTATTACGGACTGAAAACAAAAAAAGCTTATTTCTTAAGTGTGATGAAAACTGGGGATATTTTAATCCGGATTTAGAAAAAATGTAATCGATTAACGGTAATATATTATTTGTAATCATAATTATAAGCAATCGTTGTTAACGATAACAACTTTAGACTAGTATTGAACTTAAAAATTGGGTATGTTTTGTGCTACGTAAACTAAAATGGGAAATAATAATAAATTTTATGCCTTTCTTATTAAGGGAAACAAAATTTTCATATTAAAAAATAAGAAATAAAAATCCAGTGTTACAAAAGGCCTGGCAACGGAGAGAAAAGTGCTCAGATTAATCTGCATAGTAAAGTTTTTAGTGTAACTGTGATAGCTCAAAACGTTTGACGTTACACCAATTCATTTAAACATTAGTGATGAAATGATTTTTAATTCAGTATGAAAAATAATTTAAATTTACGACAGTTTGTTATTCTATTAGATGCTTTTACATAAAGTCGCATTTATGTAGAATCTCCTTCAATGATCGTTAATGATAATATTGAAGTAAAATTTTAACCTTGCACCTTTTACAACTGTTAAGAGTGCGCTTTTTTTTAAAAAAAAAATATTTTATGATTTCAAATTGAAAGCAACTGATCGCTCAAATAGATAAACAAAAATGAGAGCTTAAAAATTATGGGGAAAAAATTAGGCAATTAACGACTAGCATAGCCGTTTATACACTTTTACGAAAAACCATAAAAGTGACGTAGATGAAACTTTTTAAAATAAATAAATAAAAAAAAAAAGCATTGATATGCAATTTTAAATCATTATCTGCTTAAATAAGGACAGAGTTGGGCAAAATATATTGAGCTATCATTACTCGCAATCAAAATTAAATGAAATAGTATTTTAGTTTAATTACAAAAAAAAAACATTACTTTTTATTATTATATATTTTTCAGAAGTGATAAATACAAAATAAAATTTAAAAAAAATTCATTTCTATACCACTTCTTTATGCAATTAGGCAGGGGCAAAAAACAGTAAATAACCGTTTAAACGGGGAAGTCTAATATTAGTTTCATATAACATGAAATTAGTCGATTATGTATGAAACGTTTCATATTTCACACATTTCCTATACATTATATGGAATGCTATACATTCTAAGGAAAAACCGGCAAATTACGAGATAGATCTCCGATTCGTTTAAAATATAGTGAAATGTAATTCAAAATGTCTTTTAAGCCTTCCATGTTTCAACCAGTAGATTTATATTAATTTCTTATTTTTTATAAGAAAATTTTGTTTCCCTTAATAAGAAAGGCGTAAAATTTGTTCCGTACAACTTTCATTTTTCTTAACGTATTTCGAAGAAATTTTTTAAAGGCACTCTTACTTTTTTTTTTCATTTTTTTTTTTCAGAATAATATTTAAATTTTTGAGGAATGCACGTCATTATTATAATAGCCTTATCAGAATAATTTTTTATACTTTTCCTAAATAGCTTTGATCATTTTATAGAATGCCTAGGTATACTTTTACTGAAATTTAAATTCACTTAATTCTAGAATATATTATATGTACAATTCTTATAGAATGGTGGGTACTTGCCGGTAACATTTGTAATTTCTTACATGATCTATATAATTAATTTTCTCTCATCCTCTGTAACTGCAAATAATTATTTTTTACCTTTTCTTTCTTTTTATACAGTTTTATTGTATTAGTTTTTATTGTAAAGCATTTTATTGATTTTAAAAAGAAATTGTCTTTATTTTAAATAAATTAATACTTTAGCTTGAAAGTTTTCGGGGTTATACTCATAGCTGATAGTATTATTAATAAAACCATACCTTTAAGACAAAAAAATCAGTAATTTTTCCGGTTATTCAGAACATA